TGTGTATCATTGAAGTTGCCAACGCTGTGATGACATTTGGGACATTGTATTTCCCTCGGACGCACGATTTCGCCAGCAACGCTCCTCAAATCACCAACATCCTCGCAGTGTGCAAGGATATTACAGCTCCTTACAAAAAGGGTACTAGATACGAGAATCCTGCGAGTCGCATAATCAACGTATCATGTTAGCATGTCAACATGGCGCTACTTGTAATGCGACCTATGGGAATTGCGGCGCAGGGTTGATGCTGTTCGCGGATTCCTAAGACGAACCCGACTTGGCACCTTCTGATTTCCTATTGATATCAAGAAGCTATGGTACGCAAGTGTCGATTTCGTGTAAGTCTTTCTTCGTTGATCCCCCATCTATTGGTGACCCCTTCGTTCACCTGCCTTCACGAGTTGGGTTAATCATGCTTTTCACCAGAAGCGGTAGCAACAGGATGGGCCCTCCCAACTACGAAGTTGGTAGATTGGGATGGACAATGTTCCTTGTCGGAAACTCCATGCTACGAACCCCAGAATCTCTCGCGATCGTGCGGCGTTCTCGATCGGGTCCGAACCAAACGTTTTGATAATCAAAACTGAGCAATAACGCCCGCAGAATCTAACCTGTTTAAATGTTTCGAAACCCTGACTATTTGCTCGACACTTCGCGGAAGACGCAATGCTCATACCAACATCCCTCGCTTACAAGTTGTAAGTTACAACAATTCCCCACCCAAACTTCCTCATCTCATTGAACAACCCGACTCCGTCGTCTAACTGTTATGGCATAAATAGATTGACTATAAGTGCTGAACTTGGCCGTACTTACGCTAAGAGTCGAACACTATGTTCTCGAATGGTCGACAGCAGTTCGGCAAATCTTTCAGCAGTGGCAACCTCAATCTCAGGTAGGGTGGCACGCGGAAGGAAAAATAGAAAAATTATTTCCTTCGGAAGGAAATTTGAAATTTGAAGGAAAAATGAAGGAAAAATACGGAAAAATAAGGAAAAATAAAATTTTTCGCTTGGCCTGCCAAGGTTTGGCAGGCCAGAGGGTCACTATCTCATTCAATCAAGCTGCTGGCAGATGATTTGCACTCATTAATCACGTTTCAAAGTCTGATTAACTGTGACTGACTCAGAACCACACTGGAGGATACCAGGGCGTGCGCTAAAGTTGAGCGGTTGAACATGCGCGTTTTCCATCGGAATGTTTCCCACGACTAAAGCTGTCGTTGAGCGTTACTTGATTGATTCATTGATGGTTGCGTCCCTTTGTTACAATCACGCACTCTGCCTCTGTGTTCTATCGTCTTCATCATGGTGCATTAAACATACCATGATGGACCTGCGTCAAAATACACTGTATTTTGATGCAGTTGCCAGTTGTATAACGCTGGGTTATTTTGTGTTTCAGCGCAATTTTCAACCCTACACTACCCAATCATACACGTTTACATGTTTCAGCGCAAACCTTACACGACTGCAATCATCAAGAGTGTGGACTCGGCGTGGGAGAGTGATTCGTCCGCCTCGACATTGTTTGATCAACGGAATGGTAGAGTATGTAGTATCAGCAACAGTCTTATTTTTCTCGGCCAGCATTGGAAATGTCTTCCAGGGACCAGTGAAGCCTTTCTTTTCCGATCACTTTCACAGGTTCGAGCGCTCATGTCAGCAAGAAACGCAGACGGAAACACTGACGAATCACGATGCGAAGCGAGGTGCAAATGTCAGTCTGTCCATAACGATGATTATTGATCAGGTCAGAGCCTCAGACGCTGAGCCTGCGGCCGGTTACGGAACCACTGCCTAAATGTTGCGTCAGGGCTACCTATCCGTTTGTTTTGGAGTACGCTACGTTGATACTTTATCGTGTTGTGCTTGTGGGAGCGCAGCGTATCCCGCTCGAATAAAATGATCATGGTGCGAAGACTTCGCAGCGAAGTACCACGCAATAACTGAAACCGCAACCTGGGCCTTCCAGTGAAAGTGCGAATCGAATTCTCGCTCGCCGCAAAAATCGTTGATCATCCTGGCGAACAATGCTTCCCTATACTCAGTCTAATCCAGACTATTAACACAGGCACATACCCCGACATTATCTGTTGTGAGACCCCTTCTTTTTTGGCTTTTTTATGCCCATTTATGGCAATTTTGAAAAATTTTTCTCTATTTTTCCTTATTTTTCCTATTTTTCCTGTCCGAAAGAATTTTCTAAATTTCCTTCATCTTTCCGAAGGAAATGGAAGGAAATAATTGGAAGGAAATAATTCGTGCCACCCTAATCTCAGGTCTTGCCCATCCTCGGGGTCCTGGGAAACCTCACTCAGCGAGAATGCTGGTGGTTGTTGGTGTTGCTGATGTCACGGATACTCGGTTTGCATGAGTGAAACACGGTACGATTCTTTGGCGGAGAAATGTCCCAGCCGGAGATGGCACCATCATATCTAATGGGAGAGAAATTGTGAAGTCATACGAGACTTCGAGTATTAGATAAAGGAACCGTAGAAGATCTAGGGTCCGGACTTGTTCCAGATGATCATCTGAGATGATAGTGCAGCGTTGGTAGACGAAAATGTAGAGAGAGCCAAACCTTTTGGATGATGAGAGAAAGCACAGCGATCGCAAATAGATAATTTCGTCCCAGATCTAAGTAGCATCCCATATGGCTCATAACATGAGTCACTCATGATGGGTGAAAGGGGCGATCAGATATAGTAGATGATATGAGCGAGCAGCTAGACGAGCTCACGATACTAGACTAGTATTACTACAGCATTTCCAGATCAATTTAACATTTTACCCGAATTTTTAATAACTTAACCACTTCTTTTGAGAAAATATTTTTTTTTAGTCTTTTGCCAACTGATTTTAACTTATTACCCAAAATTGTAGTTCAATAGCTAGTCTTTTTAAAAATATACCCACTTCAATTAATGATGATAGCTTTGGCTACACTAGACGGACCAGTGACTGACTTATGAATTTCAACGCTAGCCGCAATCCGCGAGGAACTCGCAGAGTCGAGGACGTCCCATAAGCGCGAGGTCATTTCCTGAGGTACACATACATGCTCCCCCGACATCTGAAGCATACTTAGCCGTACAGCGAATCTTCCTCACAGAGGCAGTACCGAGTGAGTAGTAATCTACTGCTCGCTCGGGAGTACGAGTAGGTATGAGCTTCGGAGTTTGGTAGGAGTAAAGTGTGTTGCTATATAGTGCTGCAAACTGGTTTCGATTCTGTTGTGCGAGGGAGCATTATCCTCTACCAATGTGAGTTTCCCAGGGTTGCTCTGCCTCCCATCATAGATGTGTATTACAACTCGCACGAGTCAGTCATCGAAGTCTTCCTTCTCCGTAGAACGTCGCCTACGCAACCATAAGCACGACTTCCGAGTCGGACTCGGGGAGGCCCATCGCTTCCAAGATACTTATATTTTCTCCTACTGATAACCCTGCCTTGTGTGAACTCGTTAGCCTCTGGCGCCTGAGGCGTCACGCCTTTTCCCGGTGCACTTAGGTACGGATTCATACACGGATACAGATTCCCATCAGTTTCATCTTGGTACAGTATGGGTCGCAATTTTCGACTCGCAACTGCGCACACCCACGTCCTTCGCGTGATATTTTGCATGGGGTAGGCGACGTGTAGCTACGTTGCGATCGCCCGTGTAGTAAAGACTAACGTCGTTAATTGAAGTGGGTATGTTTTTAAAAAGACTAGCTATTATATTAAAATTTCGGGTAATAAGTTAAAATCAGTCGGTAAAAGATTGAAAAAAAAAGTATTTTTTTTCAAACAAGGTTGTTAAATTATCAAAAAAAAAGGGTAAAGTATTAAAGTGACCTGGAAGTGCTGTAGTTCAACCGTTGAACTTGCGTTGAACTCAACGCACCACAGCTAAATAGCTCAAGCCCAGTCATGCCATGACTGTTATGGCCTATTAGAGTGAAGAACGATCTCAATGAGAAGATATTTCCAGACCAACTCTTCGAAAGGAAACATGAGAGCAAGTATCCGTTACAGATATCGCCTTTCCAGGCGAGCGAGATAGAAGACCTTGTGTCGAAGAAGATGAGTGCCGCAATGACTTTAGTGTTCCCGGCCTGTGTAGACCGTTTACTAGAATCAGCAGGATTATCACCACCCTTAGAACTCGACGGATACTGTGACATAGGAGAAGGTAATTGAAATTGAGCTTGTATCTAGTTCATACATTACAATAAAACTTCCGTAATAACGACTAGCTTTACGCTAGGGGACAATACACAAGGGCGCTATAGTATCATTGACTTGCACACGCCACAGAGACATACGAACACAATGATGTATCCTAGCAAATGAGAGAGGCGGTTTACTACAGACAAAACTTCAGACCTCAAGTCACGTCATGCCGATCGCAGTTGATGGAGGGAGGTTCTGTGATGGGAGTTTCCGCAATATGTCACAGACGAGGGTGGATCTCACAAACCCATGTGGGAAGCAGTCCACGTCCGTGACGCATTCAGTGCCCGGGAGTCCCGGGCACTGAATGGTCCCGGGCCGGGACCAAACACGGCCATACCAATCAGCCACCGTGCAGATCCTGAGTGAATGCCCCCCATCTCAGATAGATAAAAAATATAAACTCCGTCACACCCAAGATATCTCGTCTGATGCCTAACTAAGAGTGCTTGAGGGTTTCCAACAGGAATTCTCAAGCACTATGGGGGAACTTTCTCTGTTCTTGGATGTGTGGTCCGAAGGTAATCAGACTGGATCACTGCTTTAGCAACGACTTGACGTCTTGCTTTTCTCTTGAAATTCCGTCATCTGTCTTTCGGCTATCCGTGAACTTGCTCTCTTGGGAGACCTTCACGACCGTGAAAAGTAGTGGCCCACAACATGTGAAGACCCCCTAACGGTCCAATTTTCCTTCTCTTGTGAGGTCAGGCACTAATCACTGATGTGAATAGGCTACTCAATTGCAGTCAACTATACGCCTTGATACGCTCATGATGAGAATAATAATACTACGCCATCGAAAGAATAAAAAAGAGAGACTCAACATCAAATTGAACACCAGAACGGCTCCTGCAAAACCACGCTGGCCAAGATCCCACAGAGAGGGTGAACCCAGTGTATGTAACTGGCAATGACCCTACAGACCCAGAACGACTATTGAGCTTTACGGACTTGAAAATTATCAGCAACCGTCACAGCATTGATAGTGGAATTATATGACCAATACGTGAAGTTAAGAACAGACGAATCGACAACATCAAGTTCAACATAGCCATGGGTCAGAAGACCTTTTCGATACCACGGCACTTCAATGCGAGCACAAGAAGGGCCCTCGATAAAGCGTGGAGAGCCCGCCAAGACATGGACGATACCGTCGATAGCGGCCGTGCGTTCGTACAGATGGTAATGACCAGCAACGAAAACATCAACGTGATGCTTTCTGAGAACTGGTGCAACGTCCGAAATCAAATGGTCGGAGATTTGCTGGTCCACGTCGAAACCCTTGCAAGTCTGATACATTGGTCTGTGACCAGTCACGATGACCCATGGTGTCTTCTCGCGATCTACATTGGCAAGGTCGTCCTCGAGCCATCTGTGTTGATCGCTTCCGTTGAGCCAATTATGTTCAGTGGACATCATAGAATAGTGCACCAAACCATAGTCAAATGAATACCAATACCGTGGCTCTTCCGAACCATCACGGAACGCATAACGATGTGCGAAAGGAATACCACACTCCCCGCTGGAATCTAGCTGATTATAATTCCCAAAATCAGGATACCAGCCTTTCGGATTATTCGTAGAGACATAGTCATGATTTCCAACGCTCGCCACGAAAGGAGCCCTCATTGCAAAGCTCTGTTCCATTTGAGCGCCAAACTGATCCCACACAATGCCATAGCCGTTCGCATAAGACACATCTCCATAGAGCATAGTCAGCCTAATACGGTTATTGTTCTTTAGATGAGCAAGCGATGGACTGATGTAAGGCGGAGGGAACTCCATCGTTCCTACACCGCGTGAACCTCCTCCCATGCTGCCACCATCGACACCGAGATCGCCGAGCAATGCCACACTATGTCTTGATGCGTCACCAGCGAGGATCCTGGGATGGGGCGTAAAAGAGCGAGACTCGCTCGCACCTTGCCGGATTCTAACTTCCGACCCAGACTCTAGGTTGGGAATCGTAACAGAGTGGAAGAATCCTGGATCGCGGAAGCCGATGTAGATCGCCACGGCGTTGCACATCTCTTGCGCCTTGTAAGTCCTAGCCGGACTGGTCTCATTAACTTGGGTCCACGTGGTGGTGCTGGGCGTCCTGTAGAGTACTTCACCTCTTTTACTTGAGGCGCTGACCCAATTCACTTGGAGACTATCATCACCGAAGACTGTGAGATAAGCTTGTGCTGGTTCATCTTCACCTTGAGCGAAGGCCAAGTCTGTTGAACAAACCTCGTCACCGTCAGCTGTACGATAGCTGACCTTATACCCAGCGCCACCACGAGGGTTCACAAGGTTCACTGTATATTCATTGGTCCCGTTCAGGGCTGATAGTAGTATCCTGAAGGCGCTGCCCTGGAAAGGATCAGATGTACTTTTCAGCACAAAGTCTATAGTATCACCATCGTTGACCGACTGATGCCAAGTGACCTTGACAGGATCGTAACTGTGTGCCAGGTGAGCAGGAGACAACGACACACAACTGCTGGGGACCGGTGCCGCGGTCGTTGGGCTGGGGGTGGTACTTGATGTGCTGCTAGAGCATCCAGCACTAAACAACCCCATGCTGAGGAGCGTGAGGGCCACCGTTGAGCTGTGTGGGCGCCGAGCTCTCCAGATTGCAGAATTCGAGGACATTTTGCTCTTTGGAGGATATCAAAGCTTGATTCTCAAAGCTGCCGTGAGTCAACATCTGTAAAAGAATCACTCATACATCGGGATTTACGCATGCATGGAAAGAAATTTCTACTAGGAATAGGAGGATATCGCGTCACGATCTCACATGCGCATGCGTGCAACATGCTGTGGTCAAGCATTACTTGAACATCGTGTTTTTTTACTAAAGTCACCCTGTGTGCACCATTTGCAACCCTAGCACTCCCACTCATTTATTCAGCGTAAGTCACTGGGAAAACTTATCCTTGCACTATGGATGTTAGTTTGGGTCTTCGGCCATTAGGTATGTCCTTACTCAGCTGCACGCATATACAAAAGGCTTTTCTGCGCCTTGGGTGAGCGCCAGTCGGGAGACAACTCTTGGCCTGAGGGTTGACCTAAGGCGAATTCATCCCATCTTCCTCGCCAACCATAACAAGCAAGTGAAGAGCAAAGACAATCCGAAGCAAGTCTATACCAATTCATCAAGTACTCGATAAAAAAGACAAGCTACCTCCTCGATTCCTAGACTCTAGAAATCTGTCTCTAGAATCTAGAGACCCTTGAGGATTACGCCTTGGTCCCCATCATTATAGCACGCCATGAACGAGTTGGGAACCATAAAAATCATCAGCACCCTGCAGTGAACATGGAATGTGTATCATCGAAGTTGCTATCGCAGCGAATCGCTGCCAGCGATAGCAACTTCGAAGCTTTCATGAATCAATGATACATCACTCGCGATAGTGTTGCTGTGATGATATTTGGGACATTGTATTTCTCTCGGGCGCACGATGTCCCCAGCAACTCTCCTCAAATCACTAACATCCTCACAGTGTGCAAGGATATTACAACTCCTTACACAGGGAATACTAGGTACCAGGATCCTGCGAGTCGCACAATCAACGTATCATGTTAGTATGTCAACATGACACTACTTGTAATTTCGACTCAGTATGCGCCCTATGGGAATTGTGGCGCAGGATGGGCTCTCCCAACTACGAAGTTCGTAGATTGGGATGGACAATGTTCCTTGTCGGAAACTTCATGTTACGAACCCCAGAATTTCCCGCGATTGTGCGGCGTTGCCGGTCGGGTCCGAGCCAAAGGTTTTGATAATCAAAACTTAGCAATAACGCCCGCAGAATCTAACCTGGCTAAATTAGCCCGAAATGAGATACTGAATGCTGCCACCATATGACATTCGATTCGACTTTCGACCGAGTCCAAGGGGCCTCCGATACAATAAATGTTACGAAACCCTGACTCCTTGCGCGACACAATTCTCCACCCCAAACTTTCTCATCTCATTGAATAACCCGACTCCGTCGTCTAACTGTTATGGCATAAATAGATTGACTATAAGTGCTGAACTTGGCCCTACTTACGCTAAGAGTCGAGCACTATGTTCTCAAATGGTCGACAGCAGTTCGGCACATCTTTCAGCAGTGGCAACCTCAATCTTAGGTCTTGCCCATCCTCGGAGTCCTGGGAAACCGTACTCAGCGAGAATGCTGGCGGTTGTTGGTGTTGCTGATGTCACGGATACTCGGTTTGCATGAGTGAAACACGGTACGATTCTTTGGCGGAGAAATGTCCCAGCCGGAGATGGCACCATCATATCTAATGTGTACGAAAATGTGGAAGTCATACCGTATGACTTCACATTTCCTACACATTAGATATGACTCATACGAGACTTCGAGTATGAGATAAAGGAACCGTAGAAGATATAGGGCCCGGACTTGCTCTAGATGATAGTGCAGCGCTGGTAGACGAAGGTGTAAAGAGAGCTAAACCTGTTGGATGATGAGAGAAAGCACAGCGATCGCGACTCGCGATTCGCGGGTAGATAATTTCGTCCCAGATTTAAGTAGCATCCCGTATGGCTCATAACATGAGTGGAAGGGGCGATCAGATATAGTAGGTGATATGAGCAAGCAGCTAGATGAGCTCACGATACTAGACTAGTATCACTGGTTCAACCGTTGAACTCGCGTTGAACTCAACGCAAGGCGTAGGTTGTAGCTAGATGCTTGTACCGAGTAGATACCACAGTTAAATACTATTTAGCTGCGGTAAATAGCTTTCGTAAATAGCTCGAACACAGTCATGCCACGACCGTCCAGGCCTATTAGAGTGAAGAACGATCTCCATGAGAAGGTATTTCCAGCTCAACTCTTTGAGAGTCAAAGGGATGAAGCTGCAGCCAAGGAGGGAGTGTGGCCGTAATTAATTTGACCGAGTTCGCAGTATAAGTCTTACAATATAAGACATGTCATGATGATTGGTAGTATTTGCATGACTCGATGTATCATGTTTTACGATGATTGTATTTTCCAAACTCTTTGAGAGAAAACATGAGAGCAAGTATCCGTTACAGATATCGCCGTTCCAGGCGACCGAGATAGAAGATCTTGTGTCGGAGAAGATGAGTGCCGCAATGACAAAACTCCAGTCCTCAAGGAGTCCTTGACAAGGACCGTGAAGGGTTGTGGTCCACAACATGTGGAGACACCCTAACAATCCGATTTTTCTTCTCTTGTGAGCTTAGGCATTAATCACTGATGTGCATAGGCTACTCAGGCTGGGTTGCCCATTCACATCAGTTCGCTGACTCATCCTCTGGTGAGTATTGCAAAACTCAGATCTAGGCTTTCGGTCTCGGGTTTGAGGTTGAACCAATACTTCTCCCATGGTGGGAGTCCTTTGCCCGACATCTATGGGACTACTGTGGTACAACGCGAAGTACTACTCTTCAAATGTAAGGGCAATTGCAGTCAACTAGACGCCTTGATACGCTCATGATGAGAATAATAATCGCAAGAATAAAAAAGGGAGATTCAACATCAAATTGAACACCAGAACGGCTCCTGCAAAACCACGCTGGCCAAGATCCCACAGAGAGGGTGAACCCAGTGTATGTAACTGGCAATGACCCTACAGACCCAGAACGACTATTGAGCTTTACGGACTTGGAAGTTATCAGCAACTGTCACAGCATTGATGGTGGAATTATATGACCAATACGTGAAGTTAAGAACGGACGAATCGACGACATCAAGTTCAACATAGCCATGAGTCAGAAGAGCTTTTCGATACCATGGCACTTCAATGCGAGCACACGGGCCCCCGAGAAAGCGTGGAGAGCCCGCCAAGACATGGACGATACCTTCGATAGCAGCCGTGCGTTCGTACCGATGGTAATGACCAGCAACGAAAACATCAACGTGATGCTTCCTGAGAACTGGCGCAACGTCCGAGATCAAATGGTCGGATATTTGCTGGTTCGAGCCGAAACTCTTGCAAGTCTGATACATTGGTCTGTGACCAGTCACGATTACCCACGGCGTCTTCTCGCGATCCACATTGGCAAGGTCGTCCTCGAGCCATCTGTGTTGATCGCTTCCGTTGAGCCAATTATGTTCAGTGGACATCATAGAATAGTGCACCAAACCATAGTCAAATGAATACCAATACCGTGGCTCTTCCGAACCATCACGGAACGCATAACGATGTGCGAAAGGAATACCACACTCCCCGCTGGAGTCTAGCTGATTATAATTCCCAAAATCAGGATACCAGCCTTTCGGATTATTCGTAGAGACATATTCATGATTTCCAACGCTCGTCACGAAAGGAGCTCTCATTGCAAAGCTCTGTTCCATTTGAGCGCCAAACTGATCCCACACCATGCCATAGCCGTTCGCATAAGACACATCTCCATAGAGCACGGTCAGCCTAATACGGTTATTGTTCTTTAGATGAGCAAGCGATGGACTG